TGGCTGGCGCCTCAGCCACTTGAGCCACAGGCGCCAAGCCTCTCATGTCACATTTTAGGGGTATTTTACAAAATCATGTTACTGTCAATGTGCATGTGTGTGTGTGTTTTGAGACAGTCTCACTCTGTTCCCCCAGGCTAGAGTACCATGGTATCATAGCTCATAGCAACCTCAAACTCCTGGGCTCAAGCCATCCTCCTGTCTCAGCCTCTCTCCATAGCTGGCACTACAGGTGCATACCACAATGCCTGGCTAGTTTTTCTCTATTTTTAATAGAGATGGGGTTTGGCTCTTGCTCAGGCTTGTCTCGAACTCCTGAGCTCAAGCAATCCACCTGCCTCAGCCTCCCAGAGTTCTAGGATTACAGCTGTGAGCCACTGTGCTTGGCCTACTGTTCATGTTATTAAATTTAAAAGGCACACAATGAAGACAAGCCACATCATTTCCTGGAAGACCAGGAGTGGCAGCTCACACCTGTATCCTAGCATTCTGGGAGTCCAAAATAGGGGGAGTGCCTGAGCCCAGGAGTTGGAGACCAGTCTGAGCAAGAGTGAGACCTCATCTCTTAAAAAAAAGGGGCGGGGCTGGGCATTGTGGTAGGTGCCTTTAGTTGTAGCTACTTGGGAGGCTGAAGCAAGATGATTGCTTCAGCCCAAGAGTTTGAAGGTGCTGTGAGCTATGATGCCACTGTACTGTATAGAGTCTCACCAAAAAAAAAAAAAAAAAAATTTACTGAAAATCACAGAAAATATTCACGGACAGGTTACAAGGAAACTGTGAGGCTAAATCAACATCAACCCATAAATAAGAACTGGTGAGTATCATTACTGATGTTATGGTGGTTGGTATAAATCATTTAGAATGGTCTAAAAGATGCAGTGCAGTGGCTCATGCCTATAATCCTAGCACTCTGGAAGGATGAGGTGAAGGATTCACTTAAGCCTAAGAGTTTGAGGTTGCTGTGAGCTGTGACACCACAGTACTCTACCAAAGATGAAAAAGTGAGACTGTCTCAAAAAAAAAAAAAAAAAAAAAAAAGAACTGTCTGAGAGTAAGCCCACACATAGTGAGTCTAGACTCTAAGATCATCATCCTATGGAGAAGAAAATGTTACATATTTCCATCAAGATAAAAAAGGAAACAAAAGAAAACTTGACATTGTGGTGGGTAGGTGAAGCTATCCTGGGCCTTGGAGACCCTTATAGAGACCTACCCTGTCTCCATCTGTCACTGACTTGAACCTGTACCTGAGACTTCTCCACAGAGGCTGTGTGCTTATCACACATGGGGCTGATCTCCATGCCACGTTCACGCTCACGGTCACCCTGCTGGAAGAACTCGGCCATGATGCGGTCTGTCCACTGGCGGTATAGCTCCAGTGGCTTGGTGGGGTTGCTGAGGTCTGCACAGTGGACCATGTTTCGAAGGACCTGCCCAGGGTAGGGGTACGGGTAGAAGGCCTTTAGGGGCTGAGCCCCAGGCTTTCTGATCTCCCACCTGGAGACGGGTGTCTAAGAGTGGGGAGAAGAGGGAAAAGAGGTAGGGGGAGATGGAGAGAGGTAGAAAATGGGTGGAGATAGGGAGAAGAGAGGGTCTAGTCTCCTTATATGGTAGAAGAGGGGCACCTGGATGCGGTCGGAGTAGTTGTCCAGCAGGAGGACCCCCGAACTGGTCACTTTCTTGGTCTCCACCATGGTCTTCAGGTCAGCCAGGAGGGTCATGTGCTTAGACATGTCCGTGGCCAGCACCTGTGGGCAAGGGGGCATCACAGGGGCCGCTGAAGCCAGTCCACTGACAGACCTGGTTTTATTTTTTATTTATTTATTTTTTTCTTTTAGAGACAGAGTCTTCCTTTAGTGTCCTCGGTAGAGTGCCCTGGCGTCACAACTCACAGCAACCTCCAACTCCTGAGCTTAGGCGATTCTCTTGCCTCAGCCTCCCGAGTAGCTGGGACTACAGGTGCCCCACAATGTCCGGCTATTTTTTGTTGCAGTTTGGCCAGAGCCAAGTTCAAACTGCCACCCTCAATAAATGGGGCCAGCACCCTAACCACTGAACCACAGGTGCCTCCCACTGACCTAGTTTTAGAGAGTTCCCTTGAGACTCAGATCCACCCCAACCCCCACCAAGCCCAGGACTCAAAGGCTCCCTTTCCCTTTGCACCCCTTGTCCCTGTCCCCAACCCCACCACGCCCACCATGTCGATGACCATCTTCCGCAGACTCTGCCGCTGGCGCTTGCTGAGGTTCTGGAAGATGTCGCAGTTGTCCTCCTGCAGCAGCTTGAAGCCCACGGCCAGGTGGTGGTTCTCGAGCACCGACTCGTCATTGTACATGAGCGCTAGCTCTGAATCTGCAGCCGGGCCTCAGCAGTCAGGGGAGGGCCCCGGTGGGAAGTCCTGCCCGCAGTGGGACAGTTCCCGTCCCCCATCAAGAAAACCCTGCCGCACCCCCGAAAGCCCTGCTCTGCCCACCCCACTACTCACTAGTGTTGATGAGGAACTGGTTGGAGACGCCAGGGTGATCCACGTCATGAATGGCAGCCGCGAAGAGGGCAGCAAGAATTTCCAGGTCCGTGAAAACAGCCTGGGGGCAGAGAGGTATGGACGTTAGAATGATGAAGAAAGGCTCAGCGCTGGTTACTCAGTGGTTAGGGCGCTGGTCACATATACCAAAGCTTGCAGGTTCGAACCCTGCTAAACAACAAAGAAAACTGCAACAAAAAATAGCCGAGTGTTGTGGCAGGCGCCTGTAGTCCCAGCTACTTGGGACACAAGAGAATCTCTTAAGCCCAAGAGATTGAGGTTGCTGTGAGTTGTGACGCCACAGTACTCTACAGAGGGTGAGAAAGTCAGACTCTGCCTCAAAAAAAAAAAAAAAATGATGGCCATAAGAGAGACAGTGTAAAAGAGGAATGATAGTCAGAGCAAGATTGGGAGGGGAACACATGAAAACAGGAGTTTGAGCCTTTATCTACAAAAATTTTTTTAAATTAACCAGATGTGGTGGTGCACACCTGTAATCTCATTTTCTCAGGAGGCTGAGACAGGAGGATCGTTTGAGCCCAAGAGTTTGAGCCCAGCCTGGGCAACATAGAGAGACCTCCATCTCTACAAAATATTAAAAAAAAAATTTTTAGAGACAGAGTCTCACTTTATTGCCCTCAGCAGAGTGCCATAGTACCACACAGCTCACAGCAACCTCCAACTCCAGGGCTTAGGCGATTCTCTTGCCTCAGCCTCCTGAGTAGCTGGGACTACAGTTGCCTGCCGCAATGCCCAGCTATTTTTTTGTTGCAATTTGGCCAGGGCCAGGTTTGAACCTGCCACCCTTAGTATATGGGGCCAGCGCCCTACCCACTGAGCCACAGGCCCTGCCCTCAAATATTTAAAAAATTAACTGGGCATGGTAGTGCATGCCTGTAGTCCCAGCTACTTGGGAGGTTGAAGCAAGAGGATAGCTTCAGCCCAGGAGTTTGAAATTGTAGTGAGCTGAGATGATACCACTGTACTCTAGCCTGGGTGACGGAGACCTTGTCTCAAAAATCAAACAAATGAAGATAGGAGTCTGGATAGAGATGAGAAATAGAGAACAGGATCACAGAGAAATGGAGGACACAGGATCAGAGAGATAAGCAGAACACTGGAGATGGACAGTTAGTGACACAAAGAGAAATAGGGCTTGGGGAGACAGGGCAAAGCAGTAGGTGCTCACATCCAGTGCAGGTGTGGCCAGCAGCACGTGGGTGGACTGCAGCACATCAGCTGCGTGAAGGCTATTGTGGTAGGCCACATCTGTGTGGTAGTGGTCCTCCAGGGTCATCATATAGGTCACCATTGTGTCCACAGGGATGCGGAATTTTTTCAGCAGGTCCCGTTCCTAAAGGCAGGCAGGGGCAGAGTGGCGACCCCCGCCACTTCTCAGTGCCCCCTCCCCTGCCCTGTGCCCTGCACACTTCAGCCCATTCCCCACTGCCCTCATCACCTGGAATATCATATACATGATGCAACTGAGGGAGCGACCTCCTGCATAGTCCGACACACAAAAGATGTTGAGGCCCCACTTGTTTAAGTTCTCCAGTTCCTAGTGGAGATGGAGGTCAGAAGTCAGGAGTTTGCAAGGCTCAGGGCCCTTAAGAACATACCCTAGGAGTTTGGAGCCCTGGTCTGAAGGAAGCACCATTATTGCTCACCCATGGGTAGCATGTTCAGCAGCACAATTTACTGCCCATGTCCTACTGGGCTGGAAAATCAAGCAACCACAGCTACTGTCTCTCGAGTGCTTATTATCCACCAGGCACTTGGATCTCCTTTGACAGGGAGGCAACCAAGACTCAAGAGAAGTGACATGATTCTCCAAAATCTTGCAGCTCACACATGGCAAAGCTGGGATAGAAACCCAGTTTGGCTGCACCTCCCCCACCCAGCATAGCTCAGCCTCTGAGCTGAACTGCTCATGAGAAAGGAAGATAAGCTTATTTTCCATGTCTCCCCAGAATCCTGAACAATGTAGTAACTGCTCAATAAACACCAAGTGATTGAATGAAACACTCTCTGATGGTGGCTCAAAGGTTACAATATATATTAGCACAGTGAGCCACCAAGGGTTTATTGTGTCCATTGTCTCCCAGAAACCCAGGTCTAGACTATGGGGGGCACTCTGAGGCTTTATCCAAATCCATGTCACTGACCTGTGTACCAATCCCCCAGTGGCTGGGAGTTGCCTGTTAAGGCTCACGGCTATCCCTTCCTCCAGAAAACTCTTCTTGTCCCCACAGGAGCTGCCTGAAGGGGTGATGCTGCCCACCTCTGGGGGCACCTCACTGATATGGAGGGCTCCAGCTAAGACTACTTCCTTGCCTGGCTTCTTTCTTTCTTCTTCTTCTTCTTCTTTTTTTTTTTTCTCTTTAATAAGATAGGGTCTTACTCTATTGCCCAGGCTGAAGGGCAGTGATACTATCGCAGCTCACTTCAGCTTCAACCTCTTAAAGTCAAGCAACCCACTGCCTCAGTCTCCTGAATAGCTGGGACTACAGCACTATTATACCTGGCTAATTTGTTCTATTTTTTGTAGAGACAGGGTCTTGCTGTGTTGCCCAGGCTGGTCTTGAATTCCTGGCCTCAAGCAATCCTCCTGCGTCGGCTTCCCAAAGCGCTGGGATGACAGGTGTGAGCCACTGTACCTGGTCAAGGTTTCTTTCTATTCTTCCTTCACTTCCTTCCTCCTAAGGCTCCTCTTTTTAAAGCAGGTACCCACAGATCCTCATGTCAGCCTCTGCTTCTAGGGAACTGAGCTTAAGATGTGACCCTATGTCTAGTCTTCCTTTGGGTCCCAGGAGACCCCCGCCCCCTCCAGCCCAGCCCTTGCCTGTCCCCCACCCACTTGTGCCAGTAGCTCTTCTTGGTCTGTCTTCACACCAAAGCGGGGGACACCAGAGTTATTCGGGCTGCTGTTATGGGTCAACTTTTTCACCCCTGTGATCTGAGACATGGGCTGGAGATGAGGCACAGGGGGCGGGGGCTGCTGAGAGGGTCTCTGTCGTGGCACTTGCTGTTTTTCTCGCTCCTTCATCGTGGGTGACGGGATCTCTACTTCATTCTGTTTGTCTGCAGAAGGTGGGGGCAAAAGCATTGAGTGCCACCTCCCCCCATGCCTCTGCTGCCCTCAGAGGTTCCCTTATCCCTCCATCCCTCTGCCACGTATTTAGGCCTCACCCAAAATGGCAGACACCTGGCTGTCACATTTATGGCTAGTCAGAGGCTGGAAGCCAGGGGGGACATAGGAGTTCTTCTGGGAGGCAGTAGGCTGAACTGAGGACCCTGGGGATGGTCCAGGGCTATGGAATGGCCCCAGTCCAATCATCAGCTTTGGCTGGAGGGTAGTGTAGGAAGTCAGGAAGTGGGGTGGGGAAACCAGGGAAAGTGGCTACCTGCTCCAGACACCCAAGGAACCTTTTCTGGAAGGGAATATACCCCCCTGGTGTCCAGACTGCTGGTGGGGGTGGCCTCACTGGGATAAGAGAGGGAAGGTTGGTCTCTAGCTCCATGCCCCCCTCCACCAACCCTTAGCCCAGCCTGTCTGGGACCCGGACCCAGGAACCCTTGTCTTGAACTTTCAAGAGCTTCCAGAGCCCAGCCAAGGCCACCCATTGTGACCTGCCTGCCAGTCAATGATAGAACCTAATAGGGTCATTTACATGCCATGCTTTGACTGGCTGGATTTTGAGAACTCTGAGGCATACCACAACCTCATTGGTGGGAGCATTTAAAACTCAGAAAACAGGCCTGGCCAATGGCTCACTCCTGTAATAGTAGCATTCTGGGCTGCTGAGGCCAGTGAATTGCCTGAGCTCACAGGTTCCAGACCAGTCGTCAGAGCCAAAAGGAGACCTCATCTCAAAAAATAGCCGCACCTTGTGGCAGGCACCTGTAGTCCCAGCTACTTGGGAGTCTGAGGCAAGAGAATCACTTAAGCCCAAAAGTTGGAGGTTGCTGTGAACTGTGATGTTACTGCACTCTACAGAGGGTGACACTGTGAAACTGTCTCCAAAAAAAAAAATCGCTTTAGCCCAAGAGTTAGAGGTTGCTGTGAGCTATGATGCCATGGCACTCTACTGAGGGTGAGAAAGTAAGACTGTGTCTTAGAAAAAAGAAAAAGAAAAAGAAAAGGCTCAGCACCTATAGCTCAACCTGCTAAAGCGCCAGCCATGTACACCCAAGGTGGTGGGTTCGAATCCCCAGCCCGGACCCGCCAAACAGCAATGACGGCTGCAACCAAAAAATAGCCGGGCGTTGTGGCGGGCGCCTGTGGTTCCAGCTACTTGGGAGGCGGAGGCAGGAGACTCGCTTGAGCTCAGGAGT